GTCACCTGGGTCCTCCTTGGTCACCTGGGTGCCCCCTTGTCACCTGGGTTCTCCTTGGTCACCTGGGTCCCCCCATGTCACCCATGTCCCCCCATGTCACCTCTGTCCCCTCCATGTCACCTGGGACATCCTGTGGTCACCTGGGTCCCCTCCTGGTCACCTCTGTCCCTCCATGTCACCTGGGTGCCCTCCTGGTCACCTCTGTCCCCCTGTGTCACCTGGGTGCCCCCATGTCACCTGGGTCCTTCTTGGTCAGCCGGAACCCGTCCTGGTCATCTGGGTCCCCCCATGTCCCCCGTGTCCCCCGTGTCCCGCAGGGTTCATGGCGCCGGAGCTGCTGCGGAATGAGGAGTACGATTGGGCCGTCGACTACTTCACGCTGGGGGTGACCCTCTATGAGATGCTGGAGGCCAAAGGACCCTTCCGCAGCCGGGGCGAGCAGGTGCCCAGGAACACCAGTAACTCCCAGTAACCCCCAGGAACCCCCAGGACCCCTCAAAGACCACCAGAACCCCTCAAGGACCACCAGAAACTCCCCAAGTAACATCCCAGGGCTCACAGGAACCCCCAGAACCCCTCAAGGACCCCCAGAACCTCTCCAAATAACATCCCAGGGCTCCCAGTAGCCCTCAGAACCTCTCAGGGACCACCAGGAACCCCTCGAGGACCACCAGGAACTTCCCAAATAACATCCCAGGGCTCCCAGTAGCCCTCAGAACCTCTCAGGGACCACCAGGAACCCCCAAGAACTCCCCCAGAAACAACCCAGGGCTTCCAGGAAGCCCTCAAGGACCCCCAGAAACTGCCCAAGTAACATCCCAGGTCTCCCAGTAGCCCCCAGAACCCCTCAAGGACCACCAGAACACCTCAAGAACCACCAGGAACTCCCCAGATAACATCCCAGAGCTCCCAGGAACCACCAGAAACATCTCAGGAACCCCCCAAACCTCCCCAAATAAGGTCCCAGGGCTCCCAGGAACCCTCAGATCCCCTCAATGACCACCAGGAAACCCTCAAAGACCACCAGGAACTCCCCAGATAACACCCCAGGGCTTCCAGGAACCCCCAGGACGCCCTCAAAGACCACCAGGAACCCCCAGAACCTCCCC